TTAGATGAAACAATTACTTAAGTGGAGAACAAATAATTTTGTAATAATTTATTATGCGATTTTATAATTTTTTGTTTACTTGATAAGATTGAATAAACAATTGGGGCTATTTTAATAGTTTTATAACTTATGGGCTTTTTATGTTTATGAGAAAATATACAACACAAAAATTCCATATCGCATGTCCAAACAAACCTTCAATTTCATCTCATGATTCCATATCATGATACCATATCATGATTCCGTATCATGATATCATATCGCATGGCCAAACGGGCCCTAAGAATGTGATCATGATGCCCACCTCACCCCCACCCCCGCCCCCGCCCCTAGACTTTTAGGGATAAGGCATATAAAAACACATATAAATTCTGGTGAAATTGTTGATTACATGTCTAAATTATACGAGCGTCTTATTATTTAGGTGAACTTATTTTATTTATATCATTTACCCCCTTATGCTATGCTAGGATTATATTACCCCATCCCACCCCCTTAACTTATTTTTTTCGTATTATTTATCTTCCTTAGTCTGACAAAGAAAACAAGTTAAAGCATGCGCATACACACAAATCACAATTATATTAGGCAAACAAGGGGTTTTAATGTGTCTTATTTAATTTAATCCTTTCAAACCCAAAATAACAAGACCTCATTGTGCATTCTACAAATAATAGAGTGATCAACCACCAATTAAGGGGTTGAGATGATGAAGTCTGATCAATTTGGATATGAGAATTAATTATTAAAACCCTTCATTTTTTTTGTCTAGTATAAACATGTTTCAGTATAACAAATAAAAGATTTAGCATTATTAATTTAATCGTTGTTATATTATATTTAGCGGTAATAATAAATATAATTATTTAAATTAACACTCTATATAAATACTCTAGATATAATGTCGTTAACTTCGTCAGTAATCCGTCACTAGATTGCTCGTAGGTCGTAGCTAACAAAACCTTTTAATTACCTTAGCTAATTCATCGATAAAAATAATAAAATTTGTCTCTATACCCTAACATCTTCTTTTCTACTAGTGACTTTAGCTCACTAAAGTCCAAAACACACCTATATAAAGCACAACATTTATTATTGCACACACACATAGAAAAAGAGTAAAAAAGAAAGAGATCTATAGAGAGAGAGAGAGAGAGAATGCGTATGATATATGTGTGTGAAGAAGAAGAAAAAGAAGTAGGAAGAAAGAAAGCATCAGGGACATGTCCATATTGTGGAGGGACAGTGGAGGCTGTGGATATTGAAGGCAAAGGCAAGCTTTTTTGTTTGCCAATTTGTTTGAGGTTTAAAATAAAGTATATTTGTTCTTTATGTTCTAGGCGCCTTGTTTTGTACCCTTAATTCATTTCATTTTGGTCAAATCAGTATTCAGATTTCTAGCTTTGCAAGCTTCTGGTCATTTGTTTTCTTTTCCATTGATGTTGGTCGAATCAGTATTCAGGCTTTTAGCTTTGCACGACTTAAGTGGTTTTTTTTTTTCTTGCATTGCAAAATAAATGTATTTTTCATACTTCTTAAAAAAAGGTATTTTCATTACTAGAAAAATAGGAATAGCGATGGTCAAATTTTGTAACTAATCAGTAAAATTAGTTGTTAATTCTATTTAAGCAGCGGATTATTGAAAAAGTATGTTAGCTATGAACAATTTAATGACAGATTAGCGATTAAACTTGTTAGCTACTCTCCCCGTTCCTTTTTACTTGTTATGTATATTAAAAATTCTTGTTCCAAAATAGAGTGAATTGATTATCTTTTTCCAACTTTGCCCCTTAACAATAATTATTCTATAATTAAGAGACACACATATATATAGATAAAAATTAAAAAACTAATAAGGATATATTGATCAAACAACACTCCTTATTTTTTTTTAAGAATTGTGTCAATCCTTATCATGACAACTAAAAAGAAATGGAAGAAGAAACTAATTTCATATTTTTTTTCTCAACAGACCTTAGATATTTTTCCCAACAACCACTTAATAACTCATAAAATTGCAATATTTTAAGTACAAAAGGTAAGACCTAAAATGAGAAATGAGCTTAGCAACATGAAATAGAAATCTAATCCTAACAGAAGAAAACTTATTACTGAACAATCATAGAAATAGAAGAAATGGTTCAGACCCAAGACCAAGTGACAGAACTCTCTATGAGTTAGGCTACATAAAATATTCTAGCATATTTTCCCACAATTTATTTCACATTATATATCGTGTATATCATTTTATAATTGTAAACATAGGAAAGGTTTTTATTGCACTTGGCTATAAGTTGCCAAGTTTTGGGACTAAAAAAACAAGTATGTAATTGTTCTTGTCAATAATACTAAAAATGGTTATTTTCTGACAATTATTCATTCTAATTATACTATGTGTATTTGAAAATTTGTAATTAAGAGCTCAATACCGAACACAAAAATTCTTCTCTAACGAGTAAGTAGGAACTAAAGTTAATTCAAATTGCTATCCTATCTATCATGACAAGAAATCAAAATCATGTTCCATTGAACTAGGACATAAAAGATACAAAGTTTGAAATAAATAGGCATCAATAAATTAATTTCGTTGTTGAAGGAAATTAAATGTCTAAATGTACCATGTTGTACGTTGTTCTTTAAACATAAAGGCCAAAAGAAAAGGAAGACCCCCACATAGCAACGTGTGGCTAATGACAAGCATATCCTATGCCAATTAGTTTTGAATTCAAGTTATATGCACCATTAGTGTGAACAAAAATTACACTACTGAAATTATCGAAGTATATCGATAGGGAAAATTTCCTTAAGAATAAGATAGATTACCTGATGAGCATATAAAAATTCTCCACACTAATGTATTTAACTTTGTTTTTGTTGTATAGTTAAAGTACTACGTCGTTTTCAGATGTAACTATCTTGTTATTTCATTAGAATAAGTTGTTTACATCACACTTCTTGAGGTATGACTCCTCCGCAGATCCTACTTACATGAAATACTTTATGTATGGAGTTGGTCCGTATTTCAAGTACTTCAACATAAATTATTACTTACAAATTAGAATTAATTTTACAATTTGAAGTCACAACACTAGTTTGAGATAAGTATTTCAACTGAAATAATAGTTTCTACTCGTATATATAAAACTTTTAGTTTAGTTTCTTATTTTTTCCAAGTGAAATTTATATTCAAACATTGTTGGACTTAAATACATTTTTTTCTAACTTCAACTTAAATACTCTTTTGATTCAAACTTCAACTAAATATTATCCAAAACCCAAATGGTTAACACTAGTTGAGGATTAAGAAATCAAAGACTTTGAGCACTTTATACAAGCATCAAGTTATTTTTTGGTTTTTCACTCGGTATCTGATATCTATATTGAAATTCGATTATTTTGGATTCGTGCCGCGTAGGTCCATCACTCCCTACCAAAGATTTTTTTCATTTTCAGAACTCAAACCAAAGACTTCTGATTAGAAAAGAAGCGGCCCCATCCATTGCACCACATATAAGCATCAAGTTACTAAAGATAAAAGCAATTGGGAAGAAACTTCATTTGGACCAATTATCTTGTCTTTTGTAGAATTGATAGGACACTGACTAACCATGAATGAATGAGGAAATGAACACACCTAGTAACTCACTTATCAGTGTAGATTTGCATGCATCCACTCATAAAGCACCCAGATAAAGCCTGTTTGGAAGTCAAAATTTTACACAATTTTGTAGTGTTTGGAAGTCAAAAAATATCTTTATAAGCACTTGTTTTTTAGTCAAAATAAATCATAAGTTAGAATTTCTTAGTAATTATACTTCCTCTGTCTTACTTTATGTGACACTTTTTTTTAGTCAGTCCCAAAAATAATGTCACCTTACTATAATTAGAAACAATTTAACTTTACAATACACCTTTTACCCTTAATGATATGATTTTCAACCACACAAATCAAAAGTCTTTTTTTTAAAATATCGTGTTAAGTTAAACGATGTCACATAAAATAAGACGGAGGGCGTATGACTTTTGACTCAATCCAAACAGACTAAATAAAAATATCATAAATAAAATCAAAGGGTGCTTTTTCCATGGATCACTATATATGTTATAAAGTATATATTTATTTTACTAGTAATAAATAAAATCTACTATAATACATATGGGTTGTAGAGGCATAAGGCCTCATACGAGATCTATGTGCCCAATTAATTAAATTAACCAAGATGTGTGAAAAATAGTGAGATTATGTTTAATTATGAAAAGTATCAGTATTTTGTTTTTAAAACGTAGTGAAATACACTTATTTTATGTCATAATATATGTTATGTATTTGTGCGTATACAATATCTCTATAATGAAAAAAACATGTTGTATTCACACGTATAATAACAATGAAATACTTTATATCCATATGTATACAATATCTCTGCCTACTATATGAGAACGTATCTGCTATGAGATCCCAAACTATCACTATATCTATAAAAAAAAATTGAAAAATAACTCTATTTCAAATAATTAAAGGGCTAAGCCACATAATTTTTTACTTTATTTTATGTAAGAGAACCACGTGGTTACATGCATGTCACTAGGCATTTGGCTATGAAATTTTTTTCATTCTTTTCGAAGTTGAATTTAATATGTTCGGTAATAAATTTCAAAATTTGATTAGAAATTAAATTTCAGAACAACAAGAATTTTTGAAAATTAACAAAAAGGTGTTTTTATATTTTACACTCTAAATAACTTACAAAAAGTAAAAACCAAAATGAAGCATACTATCATAAGCGGAATTAATCAAAACTTGTGTCTATTAACATCAATCAATAGACTAATTTTTTAAATTTATAAATTTCAGATCATGACACTGCATCGAAACCTCTGACCACAACAAAAGAACATTAGTACAATTTTAACAGTTCAAACAATATAAGTACTCTGGCTAGAAGAGATGATGGCCTGCCAATTAATGAAAATTGGACACTAAGTTTAACTTAACTCACACTATGATTATAAATTCAAAATTGTCCATCATGAGACTTAACAAAAAAGAAAAAGCATACTATCATAGGCGGAATTAGTCAAAACTTGTGTCTAATAACTTTAATCGACTAAACTTTTAGATCATGACACCGCCTCGGAGTTTCTAACCACAACAAAAAGGCATTGATAAATTTTGATAGACTCAACTCACACGATGATTCATATATTTCAAATTGTCCATTATGAGACCTAACAAAAAGAAACATACTATATCATAGGCGGAATCAACTAAAACTTATGTCTTATTACTTTAACGGACTAAAACTTATAAATTCATAAATTAATTTCAGATCATAACACCGCCTCAAAATTCCTAACCACAACAAAAAGTCTTTCGTTAATTTTGACAGCTCGAACAGTATGGTACTCTAACAAAAAAGGTGGCTTACCAAATACCAATTAATGAAAATTGAACAATAAGCTTAATCAATTCTCATGATGATTTATAAAATTAAAATTGTCCTTCATGAGTCTTAACAAAAAAAAAAAGAAGCATATCATAATAGGCGAAATTAGCCAAAACATGTGTATAATAACTTGAATAGACTAAACTTTTAAACTCATAAATTTTAGATTATGACAGTGCCTTAGAACCTCTGACCACAACAAAAACTCTGATGAATTTTGACAGCTCAAACATTATTGTAGCTGGCAAGAGAGGTGACTTACCAATTAATGTCGACCAAAAAACGTACTTATTCACGGGAATTTATTTGGAAATTGTAATATTATTGCAACACGTATTCCTACAATTAACAGACAAAAAAAATACTCCCTTCATTTCACAAAGAATGACTTTATTTCCTTTTTAGTCAATTTCAAAAAAATAACTTTTTTTCTTTTTTGGTAACATTTTACTTTTTGCTTTCCACGTGGCATGTTTAAGACCACAAGATTAAGGGCAATTTTGTACATTTGACATAACTTTAATTTAGGACCACAAAATTCAAAAGTCTTCTTTAATTTCTTAAACTTTGTGCCAAGTCAAATCAGATCAATCTTTTTGAAACAGAGGGAGTAATAAATAATAAAAACGAACATATAGGACATCAAATGCCAAACTCTGACAATTTTACCAATTTTCCAAGAAAAAAAAACCATTTTGTTTTTTTGGTCCCAGATCTAGAGAAGAGGTCGTGAGGTTTTATGGTACAAAAAATTAACTGTGAGGGTAAAATAAGAAAAATTTAATTAATTCTCTCTTAGTTTTATCAATTGGAAAATAATTTGGTCCACTATTTTAATAACGTACACAACTTATTTAGGCTCGATAAGACGATAATATCTTCTATTTTTCTCCTCTGCTCGAAAAAATTTCAAAAATCATACATTGACCGATAGAGGGTTATTATTTTTAAAGTATATAGATATTTACTTTTACTTCATTTTTAGGTTATTATTTTTAAATTATACTCTCCGATTCTATTTATTTGTCACTTTAAATATTCTGCACACCTTCTAAGAAAATATTAAAAATAAAAGTTAAAGACTGATCTTTTCTTATTTATTATCTTTTTGCTTCTCTTAATCCTTTTAATATATTTTTTTAGAAAATTTATTAGAGTCATAACAATAAAGATTGGAAAAAAAATATATTTTTTATTTTAAAACTAATGAGTATTTTAATAAACATAACAATTAAATAGGGTCAGATAAAAATAAGGAACTTGACAGTATAATCCACAAAAGTAATTAAACCCTAAAAATGTTTGTACAGAGTAGTAAAAATCATTTACAGTTGAACCATCAAAAACTAACTTAATATAGTAATGATATAGCATTTTTATGAAATAAAAACAGAAATTCTTGAATTAATTTTTTAAAAAATTGTACCACACTTTTGCTAGGTTTATTTTAGCTTCAAGCCATGAGGGTGTGGGACACTAAGCCAATCAGAGCAGTTCAATTTATTAAGATCCTGCTATACACTATTTGAAAAAGAGTTCAGACAAAATTGAATTTATTTGTATAAGTGTTTTAAAATATATTATGTTTGTCTGGATAGAAATTGACATAATGTAATATAAGTGTATAAAATTATGCGATAAATTTATTATTCATTAATAAAATTGAGATTATATGTGTTTTATAAATTGTTTTCTGAAATATATATTAAAACTATATTATAAGTATTCAAGTGAAAAAAAATGTTATTGATATAAATGATAAATATTTTCTAAAATATTATACTTATGTAAGTTCTCATTTAATTTTATAAGTAACGATAATTTAGATCTCTAATTTTACGATGACTAAGCGAGAATTCTTATATTTATGCCAAGTCCTTTGCCGAGTCTCATGAGATGAATTGAGTAAAAAGAAGGGATAAGGGTTTGAAAAATATCTCAACTTTGATCGGATTTGCTGTTGTGATACTAAACTTTCATAAGGACATATTACCTCCCTAGACTATTTAATACCGTATTTTTTACCCCCTGAACTATTTAATAGTGTATTTTAAAGGTATATATGTGCCACGTGGACACATTACTATTTATAATTTTGCATTATTTTTATGTCCACGTGAGCAAATTATATATGTTTAAAATACGGTATTAAATAGTCTATGGAGGTAATAGGTCCTCATGAAAGTTTAGTATCGCAATAACAAATTCGACCAAAGTTGAGATATTTTTCAGACCCTTATCCCTAAAAAGAAACGCAAACATAAATGTTGATTTGTGAGGGACTAAAGTGTCATTTGGTTGCTGGTTAGAAAAGTGTATATAAGTTCTCGTTCATATTTGATACACCCGCTCATTTGTCAGCACTATTAGCAGTGGTGGAGTTAGAATTTTCAATAAGAAAATTTAAAATCTGAAGAAATAGACACAAGAAAGTTTGATATCTATTATATATATATCTAAAAAAATGTTTTAACCATATAAAAATAATATAATTTTTCGTCGAAGAAATTCAGATGAACCCTAAAGATATGGTGGCTCCGCCACTGACTATTAGTATACTTACTCTTTTTTTTTAAACCCACTTCATATAAGTTCACTCATATCTGATCGACCAGCTCATTTGTCAGCTTTTTATCAAACCCATTTACTAGAAGTCTTGTCTCCGTCATTGATGAACACCGCTAGCATTTAATAAAATTACATCATATAAGTTAAAACAAATAAAGTAGAACAAAAAAAAGAGAGAAAATTTCAACGGTCAGTAAAATTTCTTGATACCACATCGATGTATAAGTTAAATATGACTTTTAATTTGGCATTATATAATCAAACATTTGCATCCTTCAATTCTTATAAGTGAGCACTTAAATTTGTATAAAATTAAACAAGTAAATATATACGTCCTTTGAAGCATTTTACATGATAATTTACGTCCTACGTAATATAAACACGATATTATTATGTCACATCGAATATACGTATCTATTTATACACACCATAATTTACGTCCTACGTAATATAAACACGATATTATTATGTCACATCGAATATACGTATCTATTTATACACACCATAATTTACGTCCTACGTAATATAAACACGATATTATTATGTCACATCGAATATACGTATCTATTTATACACACCAAAAATTGAATGTAAAAATCCTTTACTCACTTGATACAACATCTATATAAGTGCACATGCCAATCATATCAATATAATTTTAAGAGAAATATAAACAAATACTCCCTTCCCCCCCAACAAACATAGTGAGATACATACAAAGAGAGAAAAATGTGTTTGATAATATATATTTGTGATTCAGAAGAGAAAGAGCTTGGAAGACAAGCAGCATCAGGAGCTTGTCCTTCTTGTGGTGGCAAAGTTCAATCTGTTGATGTTGAGAGTCGTTCAAAATTCTGTTTTATTCCTCTTTGCTTCATTATTAAGAGGAAATATCAATGTACTCTTTGTTCTAGGCGTTTAGTCTTGTATTCTTCTTGAACAAAAATTGAAGGTGTGTGTCTGTTATTGTCGATGATGTTCGAGCAAGTACAGAGTCGTATAATCAATCTCAACTTATTTGGGATTGAGGCGTGTCTGTTATTGTTGATGATGTTCGAGCTAGCTTTTGTGTACTTGGACGACTTATTTGTCCGGTACAATTGTTCTCTCATATTAATTCCATTTTTTAATTATGTGATGCCAATGATTGGCCGAGACGGGCTAGTGAGGATTCATAGAGCGGACATCAATTTGCATTGGGATTGAGACAAAGTTACTTTTGATGATGTTTGGATTAGTTTGCAAGTACAAGGTATCTATTTGCATTCCACCAATATCAATGTTTGGAAAAATTTCTACATTCGTGCTAAGATTTGAACTCTGATCTCTTATGGCTTCAACCGTTCTCATTGATTGCTAGGCGGCAACATGAATACTTTTACTTTTTTTTTATTATATTATGATTTTGTAAATATAGAGGGTTTCTTTTTTTAAGGGGGTAATTGTAATTTCAAGATGTTTAGTCAATGCAATATTCTTGAATTTTTTTATTGATGACATTGTAATTTCTAAAAATCCCTTTGATTTATCATGATTGAGAAATTTTTTGTACTCCAATGTACTCACTAATCCACATTGTTCAATCGCCAAAAAAAAAAACTTCTAAAAGTATCATTAGTATTTATTTCCTTACTATAGTACTCCCTCCGTTTCACAAAGAATGATCTGGTTTGACTTGGCACGGAGTTTAAGTAAATAAAGAAGACTTTTGAATCTTGTGGTCCTAAATTAAAGTTATGTAAAATGTACAAAATTGTCTTTAATCTTGTGATCTTAAACATGCCACGTGGAAAGTAAAAAGTAAAATGTTACCAAAAAAGGAAAGAGGTCATTCTTTTTTAAACTGACTAAAAAGGAAAGGAGGTCATTCTTTGTGAAACGGAGGGAGTACTATAGTAAGGAAATAAATACTAATGATACTTTTAGAAGTTTTTTTTTTTGGCGATTGAACAATGTGGATTAGTGAGTATATTTAGCTTATATACACTAATAATTTAAAATACATTTCACTATCATTAAAAAATTAATTTCTGAAAGGAATAATTATTTTATTTTTCCAGTTACTAATTCGACTCATTACAAGCATATCTACAACCTTTTGTGGAATGGTTGAGATTCATTTGTATTTAATTAGAGATTTTGAATTCAAATTTTCAAAATGAAAAAAAAAATGTTCAAAAAATGAATTTTGTAGTACATGAATTCGAATTTAATCAGACTTAAATATAAATTTCAAATCTCTGTTAGAGTGGTACACCCAATCATTATTGCATTACATGATACTTCGAATGTATGTGAATTTACTCATCTATTTTAACTTTTTTTATAAAAAAAACATAACACTACTATATATCATCTCAAAACAAAAAACATGAATTCACGTAAATTTGAAGAACCCTAGATATGTCGTTGTATAAAAATGAACCTCGTAATATGTAAATCTAAATTTAATCGAATTTCAATATTGATATCAAATCGGATGAAAAAAAAAACTTATAATATTTGGTTAGGCATTGTTGGCTCAAATTGAACCCAAGACAAATCATTTGTTCCTATCCATATTATCTTTTAGTGTATATCTATCATGTATGTATGTCTTGTTTACTAAAAGAAAAAGATCAAGATATGGTCCCTTCCTTATCCTTTTCAGTCTTTGCTGTCATCACACCTCATTAAAAAATGCAACCCCACTTATACAAAAGCACCTTAAAATGCCCTTTCAAATTCAAAAAGACAACATTTTGAAAAGCTACTTATCTAATTAATCTAATATATAAAAAAATTTATTTCAAAGTTGGTGCCTTTTATTATAGTAAAATAAATAAATAAAAAGGTAGAATACATTAACATCCTTTAAATATATTTTCTTGATTAAAGTAATGTTTATATATACTCTATTTTTCTAGACTTATTTGTGAGATTATACATTGAGTATGCTTTAATAATTGTTGTTGTTATCGTTGTTATGTTTTTATTTTGCATTTGAAGACACGTGATAAAGTGTTATTATTAGATGTTGTTGACTCAAAAGTTTAATTTTTTTACGTGTATTCTCAGGGGAATATTATGTAAATAAGTTAATTTTCACTCAAAGTATGATATTTGCTTTAACTATGTGCATTAGACTGAATAATCTGTAAATTCAGGTCGATTTAAATGGATGCTGATTTATGTAACAAAAAAAGATGGCATATGTTACATGATTAAATTATATATGTAATGAATGTTGAGAACTCGCATAAAAGAAATTTAAAATTTTATGTCAAAAATATTTAATAGGACCGTTTTATTATATGTTCAGATATTTAATTAAAACAAAACGTAAGTAAAGTATCTAAAAAAAAATTATGAAGAGATTTTAAGTGATTGTCCAAGTATTTTGGGAGGAGGGTGACATTATAAAAGTGCTATCTTGGGTTGGTTCATATAAGCATAGTGTTCACTTTTCACCCATTTTTTTTTCCATTTTCCTTAGACTTACTACTATTACATATTATATGTGGCCACTATCATTTTTATAGTTAGAAAAATACTGAGGTTTATAAAAATAATCAATTTAATTATTACACATGGAAACTGCAACTGACTTCCTACTTATAGTATGCATATCCTTATCTAGTTGGAATAGTTTTTTTTTACAAGTTCAAGAGGGTTTAATTAAGGCAAACAACATAGATTTCACCAATTTAGGATTTCATTATATGTCTTTTATGAATTTTTGAAATTATTATTCGTGTCAGATTTTGATCTTCAGATACATTATATTGAAGTGAATTCACATGTATTTGGTATACATTGACTCTCTCGCTCGACTCTCTCTATGTATGTATCTGTAATTCAGAATGTATCTCATATCTCAGATACATGTATCTAGTGTGATTCGTATGCATGTATCTAGGATATCTCTGTCACGACCCAAAAATGGATGTGATGACACTCGTCTTAACTCACCAAGACAAGTCAGCCTAAAACTCAACCATTACAATAAAATGCGAAATTTTTTATAATAAACTCAAATATACCCCTAAAATCTGGTCGTGTACAAGCCTCTGAAGTATTACAATTGAATCAAAAGAAAAATACAAGTCTCATATGACATTGTTTCTAGAGTAGAACAAGAATGAACTAATCAACTAACTAGAACATAGTCTAAGTCCGAAAATAGTGGACATAGAAGAAAGAGAACTCATGGCAGCCTAGAAGAATTGACTCAACCTTGAATTCGAACGACGATCATTGATCTCCTAAGCGAGGTCTATCAGTAGCCGCTTGAAGATGCCATGTACTCAACAAAAATAAGATCAAGTGCAGTATCAGTACACAACCAAAGTATACTGGTAGGATCACGCGGCTATCCTACTAAGTGTAACATACATAAGTCATCACAATAATATAATCACATGCATATAACGAACATATACAATATCATCAACATATACGAACAATGAACAACTTCACATTTCTCAAGATACACAATTATATCAAATCATTGGTCCTCTCATGGAACCCAAACTCAAACAGTTAGCATACTGGAATGTGGTACCCGATCCAATGATTATGCCGGAACGTAGGAAACCAATCCCATAATTATGTCGGAACGTGGCAACCGATCCAAGTTAGTTATGCTGGAACGTGGCAACCGATCCATTCAACACACCACAATCACAATTACAAGTGCATCCTCAAGATCATACAATTAAGTCATGATTTCATGGTAACCATCATTCATCTATCTCATTTACAACAAGTGTGATCAATAATGCAACATTCATTTACATATATGTATTATAATGAAGCAAGAACAAACATACATCACACAATCATAGAATCACAACCATCACCTACCTCGAAAAAAGCTTGAAACCCTAAGAAACTTGATCTTTCCCTTTTTGGATTCGTTCCGCTTGTTCTTGGTCTACAAACAATCAATAGAATATGGGAATCAATAAACAACCACTAATTCCTGAATTACTAACAATTCTATGAACCTTAGAACAAATCCATAATCTCAATTATCCAAATTAGGGTTGTTTCCACCATATAATTTATAACAAAATCTTCCCCCATCAATATTCACCCATTCTATTACGTTCTACGGATCGAAAAACGGATTCGGGGAGTGAAAATCTTATATTTAGCCTCAAGAATGGTGAAAATCGAGTAGGAGTCGCCTAGGGTTCGTTCGTTAGCTCTAAAAGTTGAAAAGTGCATAATAAAATCGTTTAGGGGGTTTATTAACGACCTTAAGTTGTGTCGAGCCCACCACAGTGGCCTTCATCACGCTGTAGCGGCCCCGCCAGAGCGGCCAAAACCCCCGCCAAGGCGGCTTGCACGAATCAGCGAGCTATTTAAAGAATTCCAAAATCCCCATGTCAAAACACACCTCTAACCAGTGACGCTCAGAAAATACTATTTACGCTAAGATCGATTACGAAAATTCTACCCGCCCGAATTCAATTCCGTAAAGTCGTATGGGTTTCGTAACAAGTTATCTAACCACTCATATAACCAGAATTATAAATAAATCACACGATTGTTACCAGATTTTCCTACACCTTAAAGACTCTGATTTCGTCCAAATCTGGACTAGGTTGGGAAAATCCAATTACTACGAAAAGGTTTTTCGGCCCTAATTTTTTTTCCCATTGGCATTTCTATAACGACGGGAACACGTCGTTACATTTTTTTTTGTAACATTTTAGTTTTAGCTTTCCACGTGACATGTTTAAGACCACAAATTAAAGGGCAATTTTGTACATTTGACATAAGTTTAATTTAGGGCCGCAAGATTCAAAAATCTTCTTTATTTTCTTAAACTCCGTGTTAAATCAAACTAGATCACTCTTTTTGAAACGGAGGGAGTAATTTTTTTCTTTAAATAATCTAAAATTATGTCGTACTTTTGGATTCCTCTACCATTTTAGTAGGGATCTGCATAATGAAATAGTTAAGTAATACTCTTTTCGTTCACTTTTATTTCTTCATTACTTTTTAAAGAAAAATCACTTTTACTTGTCAATTTTAATCAATAAAATGATGTCGATTCAAGAGACTTGAAGTACCTGTTAGGGTTTTACCCTGATTTTCTTACATTATTTGAAGTTCTTTTTTTCCTTAAAAGAAAAGTTAAAGTATTACCATAAATACTTAAACTTTTTCTGAAAGGAAAATATAGTTCTCTTCCATATTTGGTTTATTCTTTCGTTAGAGGAAACGTATGGAATCCTATAAATAGAAGGCCCCTCTTCTCACACTAAAAACACAATAGTATCCACAATGTAGTCGTTTAATAGTCTTGTTTATGGGAAGATTTTCCCCTAAACATATTTATGCTAATTTTTAATATTTGTTTTCAATATTTTTATTTTATATTAGTTTTCATATAATAATATTATGTTTTTAGTATAAGTTTTTGTCATCTGATTTATCAACCATATGATTTACAATTGTAAACTTTCGCATGACGCCCTATCACTTTCGAACCCAACAAGTGGTAT